AATAATAGGAAAACAACATGTTACTGAACATTTGAGGCATAGTGTGTATACAAATCATGTTAATAATAGGAAAACAACATGTTACTGAACATTTGAGGCATATGTGTGTATACAAATCATGTTAATAATAGGAAAACAACATGTTACTGAACATTTGAGGCATATGTGTGTGTACAGATCATGTTGAAAGTAACACAAGTTCCTTATAATTACTACCTACTTTTCCTATATTTGTGTTGTCCAGTGCAGCATCAATTTCATCTAACACAAAGAAAGGAGCTGGCTGATAACTGAAATACAAAACACAATCTTATTGACAGTTCTAATACAGTAAGTTACCACAGTACTGCAATAAAATGCTTTTATAAAAACTGTGATCTTTAATTTTCTGCCTTGAGGAATATTGTTTTAGTTCATCCATGACAAGGAAAAGTACTTGTTTACTGAAACAATGATGTACAAACCTTTAAAATGGTTTGTTTTAATATAAAACACACACAACTGACTGTTACTACTATAACACAAACTTTTAGTATGGCTTGTTTTCATATAAAACATACACACCTGACTGTTACTACTATAACACAAACTTTTAGTATGGCTTGTTTTCATATAAAACATACACATGACTGTTATTACTATAACACAAACGTTTAGTAAGGGTTGTTTTCATATAAAACATACTAACCTGACTGTTACACCCTGAACTAAGCATACACACCTGACTGTTACATCCTGGACTAAACATACACACCTGACTGTTACATCTTGGACAAAACATACACACCTGACTGTTACATCCTGAACTAATCATACACACCTGACTGTTACACCCTGGACTAAACATACACACCTGACTGTTACATCCAGGACTAAACCTACACACCTGACTGTTACAATTTGGACTAAACATACACACCTGACTGTTACAATTTGGACTAAACATACACACCTGACTGTTACATCTTGGACAAAACATACACACCTGACTGTTATACCCTGGACTAAACATACACACCTGACTGTTACACCCTGGACTAAACATATACACCTGACTGTTACACCCTGGACTAAACATATACACCTGATTGTTACACCCAGGACTAAACATACACACTTGACTGTTACACCCAGGACTAAACATACACACCTGACTGTTACAACCTGGACTAAACATACACATCTGACTGTTACATCTTGGACAAAACATACACACCTGACTGTTACATCCTAGACTAAACATACACACCTGACTGTTACATCCTGGACTAAACATACACACCTGCCTGTTACATCCTAGACTAAACATACACACCTGACTGTTACATCCTGGACTAAACATACACACTGACTGTTACATCCTGGACTAAACATACACACCTGACTGTTACACCCTGGACTAAACATACACACCTGACTGTTACACCCTGGACTAAACATACCCACCTGACTGTTACATCCTGGACTAAACATACACACCTGACTGTTACATCCTGGACTTACCTGTGGATAGCAAACAGTAATGCTAGTGCTGCCACTGTTTTCTCTCCACCAGATAAATTACTCATAGGTTGAAACCTTTTCCCAGGGGCAACACAATTGTAATTGATCCCTTCTAAGTAGGGTTCTTCTGGATTTTCTGGACCAAGGAAAGCTTGTGCACTCTGGTTGTTTGTCAGGGCCTAAACAGAAAACACCAGAACCGTGACACACCATTCACAAACACCTAACCAGAAAACAGCAGGACCATTCAGCACCTTAATAAAAAAACACCAGAACTCCTGACATAATGCTTAGTAACATTGTATGAAAAAACGTTACCATTTTAATGCTAAAAATCTTTAATAACTATAAAACTAATCTCCCCTGTTCATAAGTTATTTTTAAATCTTGTAAGTCTGGTTGTACATTTTATAATGTATTCAGTACTGTGAAGCTTATTGTTACTGAAAAGTTTCCAGACAAAGAACAAACATGTTTAACTTATTGGTAATAAGATTTCAACATAGAATACAGTCTAGAAACTTAACCAACAAACAGATACCACATTACCTTATAAATATCATCTATTCTGTTGGAAACATGATCGAAGCAACGCATGAATTTATCATAACGTTCTCTCTTCACTTTTTCAAAAGCTTGTTTTGCCTTTTTAGCTCTTTTCCTGGCACTTTCAAATTCGCTGTCAGTCATTCTGAGTCTTTCCCGAACTCCGTCTAATCTGAAAACACATGTACCTTTTTCTTTAGACAAATTACTTCAGAAACTACACGGGGTAGCGGCTGACCTGCACTATTGTGGATTCTTATTCAACATAGTTTGAGATTTAATACATTAATTTAGGAGAAAAAAAAGTTAATAAAAATAATATATAATTGACTTTGATGATCCAAACCATTCTTGTCAGAAATTATAACTTTTGAAAGAAAAACAAACAGACATTGAGCTATTTTAGAAACACACAAATCAAAACATTGAGGTGGTTAATTTGAATTTTAAGAACAAACTTGAGATATTTTTATAAAATCAAAATTAAATAGAACCTCCACAGATTTTCCCGATAGGACTGAAAACACAAATTGATATTTTTTCCATTTTTTTTAAGATAATAATTTGTATGTAATATTTTTCTGAACAATCATAACTCAGGAAAAAACTTCTAATTAATGTTATATAAAAACTGAATCAATGCGTACATAGTATTAGTAATATTCAAATGGAGGTAATTTAGAAACGTGAATTAAAAGATTTTTGACACGTACTTCTCCATGGCTTTCATATTAGGTGCCTGTATTCTGTGTAAGTGTGTCTCCATGTCAGAAATGTCTTTGTTGAGACGATCACCTTCTTTTTTAACTTCTTCATGAGAATCTAACTGTAAAACAGAACATTTACATATTACTACATCTAACTGTATCACAGAACATTTACATATTAATATATCAAACTGTAAAACAGAACATTTACATTCCACTACATCAAACTGTAAAACAGAACATTTACATATTAATACATCAAACTATAAAACAGAACATTTACATTCCACTACATCTAACTGTAAAACAGAACATTTATATTCTACTATATCAAACTGTAAGACAGAACATTTACATTCTATTATATCAAACTGTAAGACAGAACATTTACATTCCACTACATCAAACTGTAAAACAGAACATTTACATATTAATACATCAAACTGTAAAACAGAACATTTACATTCACTACATCAAACTGTAAAACAGAACATTTACATATTAATACATCAAACTGTAAAACAGAACATTTACATTCCACTACATCAAACTGTAAAACATTCTTAGTCAGAAGACTTGATAAACTGTTAGTTCTACAATGTCATAGTTTAACCATTCTTAGTCAGAAGACTTGGTAAGCTGTTAGTTCTACACTGTCATAGTTTAACCATTCTTAGTCAGAAGACTTGGTAAGCTGTTAGTTCTACAATGTCATATTTTAACTTTAACCACTGTTAGTCAGAAGAGTTGGTAAACTGTTAGTTCTACAATGTCATAATTTAACCACTTTTAGTCAGAAGAGTTGGTAAACTGTTAGTTCTACAATGTCATAATTTAACCACTTTTAGTCAGAAGACTGTTTACCAACTTTTTGAACTGTTCAATAGGTATTGTGTGTCAAATATTATATAAGCTGATTGTTCTAGTCATTACTAGCAATGAAAATCTTAATAAAAACTTCATGAAAAAGAAATAATGAAAAGCTCTGTTTAAACACATACAGCTTCTAATGATAGTAAGGAAAGAAATTCAATAACTAAAAAGCTAAAACACTTATACCTGTTGTCTCACAGAACCTTGCATTGTAGTAAACCTAGAAACCAACACTTACATCTTTCAGCTCATCTGCTATCTGCTTTACTATGAGGAGCTGAATCAATGATCAGTTAGCAGATGAGCTGAAAGATGTAAGTGTTGGTTTCTATGTTTACTATGAGGAGCTGAATCAATGATCAGTTAGCAGATGAGCTGAAAGATGTAAGTGTTGGTTTCTATGTTTACTATGAGGAGCTGAATCAATGACCTAGAAACCAACACTTACATCTTTCAGCTCATCTGCTAATTGCTCATTGATTCAGCTCCTCGTAGTAAACCTAGAAACCAACACTTACATCTTTCAGCTCATCTGCTAATTGCTCATTGATTCAGCTTCTCATAGTAAACATAGAAACCAACACTTACATCTTTCAGCTCATATGCTAACTGCTCATTGATTCAGCTCCTCATAGTAAACATAGAAACCAACACTTACGTCTTTCATCTCATCTGCTAACTGCTCGTAGTCTATCTTTATTTTGGCTTCCTTTTCATAAATTTTCTGTGTACTCTGACTTCCAGAGACATCAGTAGATTCACTTTCTTCTTGTTGTGAAGCAGGAATATCCTGGTCAATGTCTTCCATGGTTCCTTTTGTCATGGGGATGACAATGTCTTCTAGCTGTTTATATGAATAAGCTTTTCAATATATCGTATCTTATAAAAGTAGAACAAAATATAATCTTTAGATTACACTATGCATGTATATAAGGAATAATAAAAGTTTTAGCTAGGTTTATATCATTAATTAACATTAAATGTGAAACTGATTTTGATAAGACAACCTCCTACCTTACAAGCCTGTAGATGACTGTGCCTGTCAGCTTTCTTCTGCTCCAGTCGAGATTCTAGACCCGTCACCACTTTCTGAACACTAGTTATCTCCTTCTGGATGGCCGTCAACCGTTTACGAACTTCCGTCATGGCATCCTCCATCCCATCTACTTCAGTTTTCTTAGTAATTTTAGAGGTCTTTAATTTATCCAAGTTCTGCATTTCTTCATCTATTAACTAGAGACAAGTATCAAAATAAGTTAAATATAACAACCGACACAGACGTACTTCATTTCTCAATCTTGCTTTTATCACAACTAACTTTCAAAAACATTTTTTTCAACTAAAATATTCTAGTATGGTAATATATTTCCTTCAATTCTATATCCTCAAGATGTTCAACATTATTTAACAAGCATCACATGGCTACAAAAAATAACATCCATTCTTAGTAAGCTGCCAATTTGTAAAGGCCAAATTACAGATCAACTAATAAATAATATACATATATATCTAACCAATGAAACAGGTGTTACTGATAGTCAAAAAAAAAAGGTTAAAAATATCAGTTTTATCATTTCAAAATCACTGAAATTCAAGTATTATAACAGCAGTATCTGCTCAAATGAAGCTTTCATTTTCATCATCATTAGCTTATAATCATACAGATAGCACTTTCACATTCAACATCAACTGATAACTACACAGGTTTCATCTTCTATTATCAACATCAACTGATAACTACACAGGTTTCACCTTCTATTTTCAATATCAACTGATAACCACACAGGTTTCACCTTCTATTTTCAATATCAACAGATAACTACACAGGTTTCATTTTCAGCACCAACTGAAACCTACATAAATGTCATATTTGGTTTTTCAAGTGTTTCCATTTGTTATAAAAATAACACTAAATATCTTTTACCGATTAAATCACACAGAACCCTTCCCTTTAAATACCTGCATCTGTTTCGTTTCTGCTTCCTTTAATTTTTCTAATTCTTTCTCATCATCTTCTACAGTTTTGGTCCACTTGCAAACATTTTCTATAAAAAACAAAATTTGAAAAACCTTCAAACATACATATTTCATACTTATGTTCATTTTGTTTGGTTTCTGACGTACACAACAGATGTTTAGTGTTTCGTACCAACACAAAAATAAACTTATATAAAACATGTCTACCAACTAACAAATTTTTATACATCATTTTTATGTGAATGGTTTAAAAATTAAGAACCATGAGTTAAAGTCAATATTTTTGCTGAATTTTCTGGAAGCTGTTTCAGTAAATATTTGAGAGAAGGAGTTGACAAGTTAATGAAATCTGAAGGTTATTGGCTGCTTTTCAAGGCTACAACATTAACGTTAACATGGGTTGAAGAAATAGAGTGAGCTAGCTGAAAGCTGAGAAATTTGTTTCTCTTCGTTATAGGCAGTATGAAGAACGAGAATTACGGGCTACCCAAGAAAGGGATAAAAGACGGCTGGAGTTTGAAAACCAAAAAAATCGAATTATCAACAGATTGGAGTATGAACGCTCCAAGGATACCAATGGTAATATTTGTTTTATGAAAGTTATACTTCTGTTCATTTACTTATTAATTTAAATTGGTTAAGTTTAGAACATATCGTAAATGTTATTTAAAAAATATTTACAGTGAAGCAAAGACTTGTGTAAACACTATAAAACAAGATGTTCTAAACAATAAAGAATGTTCCATGGGCAATATTGTTTACCGTATGTTTTCAACTCCAATTGCGTAACAGAAGTCAGCAAAAACTCTATCTTCCACCGTGTTCATAGCTTCCTTGACCTCAGCAATCTGAACTTCTCTTTCCTTCATTTTTTCTTCTACAGAGTGGATCTTAGGCTGAAAAAAAGAAGAAATATTCAATCATTTTTCTTGTTTTAATAGAAAATAATTTTTGAACAAGTATGGATTTTTAAAGAATACTAAACACAAATAATCAAGTTTTATTTTGAAACTGGTTTTATCAGCAACAACTCATGAATATTAGTAATAAACTACACTAAACACACTTATACAGTAATAAACTATACACTAAATACACTTATACAGTAATAAACTATACACTAAATACATTTATACAGCAATAAACTATACACTAAATACATTTATACTATAATAAACTATACACTAAATACATTTATACTGTAATAAACTATACACTAAATACATTTATATAGCAATAAACTATACACTAAATACACTTAC